TATCATACTCGATATAGCTAGCTAACTCAATAAAAGTGGTACGGATAGCTAGCTATCACAAGCCGATATTGCCCGATAACATATTTTTATAGCTAGATAATCTCAAAGGCATTTTTTTGCTTGGGATAATTTGCGTTCTTCAAAAAACTCAAAATGTTCGCTTTTCAAACTAATTGCGTTCTCTTTTAAATTCTTGTCCTAGATAATCTAACTCAACATAACATCTTGGAAACTAAAATCTCCAATTTGCATGGAATGTGCATATTTGAGTCGACATAAAGAAAGAACAAGTCAAATCATATCTTTTCCAAAGTTTCAAAAACTTTTTTTTAAGCAAGTGGCTAATAGACAAAGTTAATGTTCGACTAAATCCAGTTATTTCAGACTATAGTAGAAATAAGAAAAAAAATTTTCATTATTCATCTGATTTGTAAATCAAAAGTCTAGTTCAAATGATATACTGGCTAGCTTTGACGTGGAATGACTCTATCTGAGTATACCAGTTGAAGAAGCGAGAAAAATAGCAGTTGACAAAATATGGGATCAGAATAAAAAGAAGAAATTTATAAAAAGAACTAAAACAGATCAAAATCTCTGTACGAGGGCAACGACTTTCGAGTCAAAAATATAATAATAATTGCAGCTGTTTTGAACTTCATACCTTTATTTGTTGATATTTCAACCTTTAACCGGTCATTTTCAAAAACATAAACAGAAACTGTACAAATGATTATTTATCATTTTTTGCAGCAAAGTTTTTTCTATGCCGCGAACGGGATATAGTTTGAAATTATATCCCGATCAGGATATAATTCGATATCTCGATTGGGATATCAAGAATTTTAATTTTTAATTTGTAAGAAAATGTAAATTTTAATTATGTGAGAGCTGAATATTCTTCCCCTTCTTCTTTATTCCTCCTCTCTAATGTTCCTAGTAGTGTCTTTTGTTTTATCCAGCTGATCGAAGAGACACATATATCTTTTTAACAGACGTAAATAGATTTCTTCTATTAGACATCTTTTATATATGAGTGTAGTAGACCTGTTGCAAGATGAAAGAGAAAGAGAAGAATATTCTTCTCTTTCTCTTTCTCCTTCTCTTTCTCTCTCATCTTGCAACAGGTCTAGTATAAAATATAATAGAAGATAGAAGACAAAGTCGTTACCACGCACAGTTTCATCTGCCATACATTCGTAACGTTCTTTTCTTCTTCGCCTTCTTATAACTATCAATAATTCACTTGATTCAATTATGCCTCCCAAAACATCAATGTAAAAACACCATACGGGTCCAATCGTTACAAAATTTAAGTCTGATAAATTAAAGCGTGCTTAAAGAACATAAGGCAGTTTATCTGCAAGAACGGATAGTTAGAAAGTTTCCCGTTAAACACAAAGCAAGTATATTTATATATTGTAGACGCATGAGAAAAGAATGTTGATCAAGCACAACAGAATTCGATGTAATTTTCCGAGCTCTTTCTAATGGTGAAGTCAATTTTACCCCAAAATGTCGTCATTTTCTCCTTAATCGTCTTTATGACGAAATTTCATGTTTTATATCCCGCTCGGGATACTACTTTTTTTCTATATCCTGATCGAGATATAGGAGGTAACAGGATATAGGATCTCTCACTCTAGCAGAAAACTTTTTTTCAAATATTTTCTCTCAAAAACACCATCAAACAAAACTATGTACAAATAATCTCTACATCACAGTCCATTATTTAAATCAGTAACATTTCACACATACAATCGGAAAGCTGATAAACAAAGCGTTAAATATTTCAATGGTTGTGGTACTGTTCAAAAAAATGGCGAAAACATAAAGTTTTATCACAGTAACTACACTTGATAAATGGAGTCAGATTACACTGACTATGATGGCAACGCACATCATCGAACGAAAAACACAGTTGTTTTGCATTAAGAAATGGGTCAGGATTATTTTTCAAATAACCATTCTGAAATCACGCGTACTATATCATTGGATTGAATTTTTTAGAACATAGTTGATTATAAACTAAAGAATTCAACTTGATAATATTATTTCGCTGGCCAAGATTTATATTAATATCGTAAAATTCACTTCATCATAAAATTTACGAGCAATATATGTATACTGTCTGTTAAAATAGACATCTAGCGGTTGTATCATTGCTGTCGTCTTTTTTGGTATTTCGAGACGTTGAAAATTCGGAACATCTTCGTACAACTTAACATCTCGTTGACCACCCCCGTAATCTGATATGAGTAGGCACTTTTTATTTTTGATAGATAGAAGTAAAACGTTATTTTTTGCAATACTCAACGAGACTAGAAGTCAATTTTCCAGACTTTGAACATAGGAATGTGTAGTGTCGTGAAAGGATCGTATTTTACCAAGGGTAATTTTCTCGCCTTGGAAGCTGAGAGTACGGTTAGAATGTAATTCCAGAGCCAGTCCACTTTCATCAGTATTCAGAACATTTTCTGGCTTGTACCGTGGACGAAATTTTTGAACGTTTCTCACAAATGCGTTGACTGATTCATTTACAGTGTCTAGATTCTCTATTTCATGTTTCGTGACTAGTTTGGGTCCGGATCACTTGGCTGACAATCACTTTGTCAACACATCACTTGGCCGACACTACTTGGCCGACATGTACACTTTGCCGACAGGTACTTTTTCTCGATATGTACACTTTGGCGACAACTCATTTTGCCGACAAAAAATTGAAGTCCAAAAAAATCGTATGCGCGTTTGGCTTGCTGGGTAAGTACTTACAGCCAGTCTCACTGCTCCCCTGTGAGCGTTGTTTAAGAGACGTCCCAACTTCTGCAACGGTTTGACTAACTTCTACGAGTTAACTTAAGTATATTTAAGTTAACTTTATTATATTATATTTTATTTTATTTATTTTCGGTTTAAGATTTTCTTCTCTTTTTCTTGATTAAAAAACGGAAAACTTAAAACTAGATGTTAACTTAAAATAAGATTTTAAAATTTTTAACAAATTTTGAAAGAAAAGGTTACAAGTCAATTTTTGTAGCCTAGAAACAATATATTACATTCAATTCACGAACATTGTTAATTACATTAATTTCCCTCCGGTAATTAATATTATTGACATTGTCGAGTGAACGAATTTTCTTTCTTTCGTATTTCCAGCGCGTATATTTTTAGATTATGAAAGTGGGGGGTAATGTAATTTGAAAAACTGATTTCATCAACAACTGTGGCGTACAATTTAAACAATTGCGAAATACGCAGAGAAAACTAACTGCAGCCGTTTTGCATATTTTTATCTGCTACTCTCTTTTTACTAGTTATAACTCCGAGCCTAACAGCTGTAGTTCGAAGGTTACAGTAAAGGAATAGTAACGGGCTTGGAGACCGTTACACCTCCCTCCCCTTTCTTTTTTTATGGTGACCACATGTATATGGATCCTCGATCCGCTTTTGTGGCTTGTACCTTTTGGATTTTCTACTTTTACATCAATAAATGAGATTAAAACGAATTGTAGCATAATCTATGTCTCATTTTTCTGATACACACAAAAAGTCTTTCCTGTGTCTGAGGCTCGTTTTACAGCGTTAGCACCCCTCCATTCCCGAACAAACTTGGCCTAGATCTCCAGTATAAAGGGAACAAAACGAGCCCTAATTTCCTTGAAGTCCAAGAAAACTGGAAAAGGCTTTTTTGGACTTCAATTTTTTGTCGGCAAAATGAGTTGTCGGCAAAGTGTACATGTCGGCCAAGTGATGTGTCGGCAAAGTGATTGTCGGCCAAGTGAACGCGACCCGTTTTGATATTTTATGTGAACAAATTCTGTGCCTGTGTTTAAATTTGTCGATCCACGAGTGACTGGCCGAGAAGCCGTTTTCATTGATTGCTCGTGCTTTTTCTAGCGCCCACCTTTTTAGGTCAATATTATGAACACTTAATAACTGTTGTCTGACTTTCTCAAATGATGAATAAGTGAAAGAGTCATTCATTTTGCTTTTGTTGTCTGGTTCCGCGTTGTCAACCGCGTTTCAGTTTTTTCAAATTAAATTAATTTTTTTAATTATTGATTTTAATTGAGAAATTTCCTTTATATATTAAAAGGTGCAGAATTTAATTGTATGTAAGAAAATAAGACTAAAACCCTGGATTCAGAACGGTTTACTGCTTTATAGTCCAAAAACCGAAGTCTGTGAAAAATAGATTCAAAAATTAGGTTTTTTTAGATTTATCAGTTTTATGCACAGAGAAATTTTCCTAGAAGGGTTAACTGCAAAATTTCTAAAAGTAGGTGAATGGAGAGTTTTTAGTTAATGTTCATGTAGTGTCGATTTTTTTTCTGATCAGCATTTGAATTATCTGAAAATAATGGTCCTTCCTTCAGAATATAATTAACCTTTTTATTGATATTTCTCTGAGCTCGTCGTAATGCTACTGTAGATGATGAGCCTGGAGTATCTAAGCATATCAATACAGATCCTCCAAAGTAGAAGATTATTTTAGTAGATATTCCATATATGGGTAAAATTAACTGCTATTTTGTGGAAACCTTTAATGACATTTATCCAGAAGGATTATCATATAAACCATCGGTCAAAATCAAACAGTATCTGTTATCCAAAGGAGGAGTAAGGACAGGCACTTGACTAAAAGTGCTTTCAGTCAACTAGGTGCAAGTCGGTACGAGATAGCTTTTGTCTAGACTTTCTTAGCCCTTTATTTCCAGATGTCCACAGGCGTGGACATTGATAAAATCGATATAAAAAAATAACGTACAGTTGAGTCAAACCGGATTTTGTTCCCGCCTGAAAGACTTCATCAGCTCTCGATTCGTAAGAAGAAAGTTGTCTTTCTATGAGCCATTACACGACAACCCAAGCTCAATGACTATTTCAGATTTTTTTTCTAAGTAGTCTCATTTTGTAGAGCATGTTCGAAAATCTATGAATCCAAATTTTTTGGCTTCTCGAATTTTTCGCTCTGTAGAAAAACTATTTCTTTTTCAAAAGAACACCATTGGATAGCCCGCAAAATTCTCTACAAACTGAGGTGGTCAAAATATCTAGACAGGTGGGGTCAACCATTAAAGATATGCAAAAGAAGCGTTTGGGTGTTATATATGCAGCACAGTGTGCCATAATCATAAGAACTCCTTTGTTTTTGATTTTTCAGCAAAAGTCGGAACCGTCTGAACACTGTTTTGAATAGCTCGAAGATTTTTCTGTCAGATGAGGTGCATACCGCCATTTTGTGAGGAAACTTGATAACAAGGTTTCTGGAAAACCTGAAGGCTAGAACACTAAGTCTTTGGTTTTTGGTGAGAAAATTTTCCAAATACTGCATCCGACGCACTAATAACAACTACAACAACTGAAGGCAAGTACAAGTGTTGTATTTTCAAAAAAGGTTTCATCTGACTTCGGAAAATCAAGTGGGAAAACGCAAGCAGAATGCAACAGCTTTATGTAATTTAATCATTGAAAACGTTTTATGCCCTCCGTTCATTCTCCTAAAACTCCAGAAAAATGATCTGTCTAAATTATTCCTGATCATACTCATTGTTTAGGCGTAGCTTCTACTACTACCGAAATACTAACAACAACAACAATAACAACAACAATAACAACAACAACAACAACGACAACGACAACGACAACGACAACAACAACAACAACAACAATAACAACAACAACAACTGCAGGTAATGAATAAATCTATCTACGGCATGTATGTACTTTAAAACTTTTGATCATTCCTTTAAAAAATAAAGTCCACCTCTCGCTTTAAAGTAGTATAGTATTGTTGTACACTGTAACTGTGTATGCCGGAAACAGATGTTTACTCTACAGAGCACTTTCCTTCGATGTACGTTTTGACTTGTGGAGCGCCAGAGCTACGGTAGAACAGAACGAAATCTAGTTGTACTGCAGTTTCCTTTTGACAGCAAAAAGATTTGTATAAAGCTATCATATTTTACACAAACTGGTTAGGTTTCACAATCATGTGTAATTTTCATTAAAACCACATTTTTTTCTTTTCGACGAAGCATAACATGTTTAAGTGTACGCTTGCATTACTATAGATCTGTATCGAAATATCGTATCGATATGTGTTGGCAAAATGTAGACAAGCTTTGTGCAAACTTTTTAGTCATCACCTTGTTAATATTAAGACTATGGACTAAATAAATTGATTGATTGATGCATTATTCAAAACTTAGGTACAGTAAGCAATCAAATATTTCGTTGTAAAATTACGCCAACGCAAAGAGTTTATATAAAAACCTACATAAACAGTGATTACAGACTTTTGACAACGTCTTAATGATGCATATTCATATGTCTATTGCACATTGCATGCCTGTTTTCTAGACTCTTTTTCTCAAATTATTAATGTGAATTTGAAGAAAGTGAATGTTCTAAATGTACACAGATATCTTTTAAGAAGAAAAGAAGAATGGATTTATTATTACTGTTTCTTATAAAGAGCTATTGAAGAAATCGACAGAGAATTTCTGTTATGTTCGATCTGACAGACATATGATAAATTTTTCTATCCTCTTTCAGTCTGTCTTTTGTCTTCAAACTCGACATGGAATCAAACTGGTGTAACTGTAGCTGGCAATTCAGGTGTCAATGGCTCTAGTTTTTCTCTATTATATAGTCCAGTTGGATTACATCTTGACACGTTAAACAATATAATGTATATTGCTGACCAAAATAATTATCGTGTCCTAAAATGGCCCGTAGGTAGCTCAGCAGGTACAATTTTCGCTGGTAATGGTATAATGCCACAGTCATGTGGTAGCGTTAATCAGTTTCTAAGTGTTGCTGGTGTAGCAATGGATAATTCTGGTAACGTTTATGTATCGGATAATGGATGCGCATCAGTATTCCAATTTCCTCCAAATTCAGATTCAACTACAAATGGTACCATCGCACTAATCGACGTTAGTTATCCGGAGCTGATTTTTCTCGATCCATTGACAAATGTTTTATATGTAGCCGTGTCTGGTGACACACGAGTATTAAAACAGGCAGTCAATAATGACACTAGTGTAATTGTAGCAGGTTAGTAGAACACACTAGTTGCGTATATAAATAATTAGATTTCGATTACTCGTCTTCTAAACGTAACTTTTCCTTAGGAGGCTCACAGGGCACTGCTCTAAATAAACTTGATTCGCCGAACGGTGCCTATTATGATTCTGTAACTGGCAAGTTGTATGTTGCTGATACAGGCAATCATCGTATACTTCGATTTCCTCCAGGATCAGCACGAGATACCTTCGGAGTAGTTGTAGCTGGCAATGGTATTGCTGGTAACGGAGCAAATCAATTACATAGCCCATCGGATGTTATTGTGGATCAGAATGGTACTTTATATATAGCTGATGGATGTAAGTGTCCTTACTCTGTTTGATCCGTTATGTAAAACTCATGTCTTTTATTTTCTTTGTGTCTGTTTTTCTGTTTTAGTTAATAATCGAATTCAGCGATGGCTACCAAATGCTACAAGTGGGGATACAATTCTTGGTTCCGCAACTGGTGCATCTGGTACAGCAGCAA